AATAGACTGGACTCATCTGAGCGGTAAATTATGACTCACAATGACTGGCTTTGTTGTCGAACCACGATCGCAGTGGAGAACAGTGATTGCCCAGAGTTTCCTCTCTGCCCCATTTCTGATCTCTTTGTTAATCTTGTCGCAGTATGGAGGGAGGGGAGCTGTTCAGCCGCATCCAGGCCCGGGGGGACCAGGCCTTCACAGAGAGAGGTGGGTCACAGTGAGCAGTTACTCAGATATTTTAGATTTTGTCTCTATTCTGTGTCCTGTACATGTTACATCCATTTCCTGTCTGTCCATCAGAGGCGTCAGAGATCATGCAAGACATTGGCATGGCCATCGAGTTCCTCCACCACATGGACATCGCTCATAGGGATGTAAAGGTGCTGCTCAAGTCTAAAATCATTTTTTGTTTAATGCTTTATTTTGAGTCTCTAATCATTAACTTTATCTCATGCAGCCTGAAAACCTGCTGTATACCACCAAGGATAGTAACGCCACACTGACACTGACAGACTTTGGCTTTGCTAAGGAGACCACCCTGCACAACTCCCTCCAAACCCCCTGCTACACTCCCTACTATGTTGGTGAGTGTTTGCTATCCGGAGTTTGATAACATCTGCAGGTATACAGGACTTGTGCCGGTATTATAAACAGAGGTGGATCAATTACTCAGATATTTTAGATTTTTTAGTAAAAGTAGTATTAACAGAGTGTAAAAATACTCTGTGACAAGTAAAAGTGCTCAAGTATCAAAATATAAGCACAAAATGTTAAAGTTCTCAATATACACCATGGCCCTTTTCAGAAACATATATATTTATTTTATTGGATTATAAATATTCATGCAATGATGTGTTTATTGCATAAATGCTGCAGCTGGTACAGGAATAGTTTTTTTCTTCCATATACAGCTTGTGTATTTCACGAAGGGATCAATAAAGTTTATCTTAAAGGTGGGGTAGGTAAGTTTGAGAAACCGGCTCGAGATACACTTTTTGTTATATTCCATGGAATGCTCTTAACATCCCGATAGCAATGAATATCTTAAGTGCTTTGACAAAAAATCCATAAAAAAATGTCATCTGTGGAAGCCGTAGTACTGTAAAAAGTACGACCAATCATTTTAGCCGGCCTGGCTAAAATAACTGGATGGCCTACCTGCCTGTCAGCCTTCCATCTGTGCACAAACTTATCTTGTGCCCTCATTGGTCATGTGCGCGTTCGTGTGTGTTGGAGGAGGGGCTCTATAAGGAAGTGGCAGATCTTTCTCCGGCTGTGTATTTTCAAATTCTAGCGATCTCGAGCCGGTTTCTCAAACTTACCTACCCTACCTTTAACCTATATTAATACATAATAAATTATTTGTTTGTATCATATAATATTATAATATTTTCAATTTTTTAATGACTAAAGTTATCTAATAAAAATAGTTAAGTAAAAATAATCAAATGTGCCTCTGAATTGTAGTGGAGTAGAAATATAAAGTAGCAGTTAATGGACCTAAACATTTTACTTTAGTTAAATAATTCACAAACTTTGCTTAGTTGCCTTCCACAATTGTGCTATACCAGTCATAGTTTTTGGATGATGGTTTTTGCATTGTCATTTTCTGTCATGTTGTCCTTTTGGGTGCAGAATGATCTGCTTTTGTGTGTCTCTCATTCTCGACATCATTGTGTTGTTTTTCTGTATTTATTTGTCCGTTCAGCCCCTGAAGTGCTTGGGCCAGAGAAATATGACAAATCATGTGACATGTGGTCTCTGGGCGTAATCATGTACATTCTGTGAGTATCGTCTGCAGCCGTTTCTACTTAGTGAAACATTTATAACTGTTTAGCACTATATGTTACTTTATACTAACAAAGAATTGCTAACAAAGCACTTATATACTAATAAAGGACTGGCTTATCTAAAGCTAGTTGAGTAGCACTTGAAATGTTTTAGCTCTATGAAACCTGATGTACTTATATGATTCTGTTTTCCTCAAATTTGTATCTTCTTGGTCGAATGCACTTATTGAAAGTCGCTTTGGATAAAAGCGTCAGCTAAATGCAATGTAATGTAAATGTTTAACTCTTTGGTTAACCAATGAAGCAAAGTAAAATATGTTCTTCTTCTTCTGTTTCTAGTCTGTGTGGGTTTCCTCCGTTCTACTCAAACACAGGTCAGGCCATCTCTCCAGGCATGAAGCAGAGGATCCGGCTGGGACAGTATGAGTTCCCCAACCCTGAGTGGGCCGACGTTTCTGAAGAAGGTCAGGCTGCGGACACAAAATTACAAGGAAAATATTTCAAAATTGTAACAGGGCTTTAAAGATGTTTTAGAATTCTTGACAGCATCTCCAGTTAACTCAAAAGAGACAGCCTTATTAGAGGTTCATATGGCTATCAAGATGTATTGGGTTGATTGTTTGATATCGTTTAAATGTTTTGTAGCCAAACAGCTCATCGTCCAGTTACTGAAGACAGACCCCAATGAGAGGATGACCATCGGACAGTTTATGAACCATCCCTGGATTAGTGTAAGTTCTCAAGTTGTCTTTAAATGGACCTGTTTGCAGTAACATTTACTGTATATAAGATACTTTCACCTTTATTATTGTTTACATTTCTCTGCTACTTTTTTGGATTGCTCCTCCTGTTAACTTCAGTTACTTTCATTCATACTGATAACCACAAACTAATTAACAAATAGTTCATCATGTATTGTTATAGGTTAAGATACAACTTTATTGATACCTTGTTAAATTCTACCTGGCAGTAAATAATAATAATTAAAATTATCTCCTCCTAAAACCAGATGCAACATTAATGATGAACACATGAATACATCAATAATTATAATACAATAAACGATAATATATTATTATTTAATGGAGTGTTGTCCAGTATTATTATAACAGCAGTATTTCTACAGTACGGTATCACTACTTTTACTGATATGACTACTTTGTGGACACTGCCTGTATTTATGCCCCTTTTATTGATAAGAACTTTGTATGTTTTCACACTGCAGCAGTCGATGGTGGTCCCTCCGACCCCCCTGCACACCTCTCGTGTTTTGACAGAGGACAAGGAGCTGTGGGACGATGTGAAGGTGGGATCAACTTTGTTTAATTTCAGAATATGAACACAAGGTGGCAGTAAAGCACCCGATTTACACAGCAGTATGTCTCCCAACAGGAGGAGATGACCAGCGCCCTGGCCACCATGCGGGTGGACTACGACCAGGTGAAGATCAAAGACCTGGACACCTCCAACAACCCTCTGCTCAACAAGAGACGCCAGAGGCCGGTGCCAGGAGGAGCGGAGAAAGGAGGAGAGGGTGATGGGGGAGGGGGAGGAGTGGTGTGTAACAGCCACAGAGAAGTTACTTTTTCTGAATAGCATTTTAGTAAACGATCATTGGATAAAAGTAGTTCAAAACCACCAACGCCAGAGTTTTCCAATTCACATTTCACTACTTACTTTTTCTCTTTTTTGATCACTGCACTCAATAGTCAATTAATGTCAGTGTTTTTCATTGTTACCAATATAAGACATGAAATAAACCTGTTTTTTATGTTTTACAGCTGTGTTGTATTGTCACTTGCATACAAATTACCTTATTTAATATAGTTTGATTGACACTGAGAGAATTACAAAACCTCTTTAGAAACCTGTTTTAGCTTTATGGTGAAAATCAGAGAGTAAATTGAGTATAAAGATGTTGTGGCAGCGTGTTCTTGCTGCAAACAAAATAAGACTATATGTGGAAGTAATAACAAGTATTTATTAGGCAATATTACATCCGATTTATAAGACCTTGAGGCAACTTTTATGATTGTTAGTGATGTGGGTATTGTAATGCATTCAAAGGACATTTCAACTTTGAGAGGTGAAGCTCATGTGTGATATCAACCCTACCAGACATTTCCACGTACTTTAAACTTCCTCCTCTGGGAGCCTCTACCAAGCCATGAAAACTGCCTCGATAACAGCAACTCTTTGAGTAAAAGGTTTAAGGAAGGGCTACCAAACTGATCACAGGTCTGAAAAATGTCATATATGAGGAATACATATGATTTTACAGATGAACCTGATTTAAAAAGGAAATCATTCACAGCAAAATGTGATAAGTTGTGCTGAAAAGCATGAAACAGCTTCCAGAGGATGTACTGCAGAATCCTACAGTTCAAGCTTTAAAGGATATATTGGATAACAAATGGTCACAAATTATATTTTGTATTATTGTTCAACTGCATTAGATATTTTGAGAAATAATTGCTGTGCTTTATTTTGTTAGATGGAGAGGCTAATCTTTAAACATTTCAATGTGTTTAAAAATGGAATGATAAGAGCTTCAGTTAACCTTTAGCTGTACAAACCCAACACCTACTGTTCATTTTTCATGTGCACAAGATAATATGGGGTGTAGCCAATAGTACAAGAAGTACTCCAATGTCAAATCCCTCCATTAAGTAACAATCGTGCAGTTTTTAGTAGTGTAGCAGAACCAAATATTAACTAATTGTTATTAATGTATCAAAACAATAAGATGTTATAAGGCAACAGATGGATGTCTGTATGTAGTAACATCTATAATATACTATTTAGCTGGTATAAACTTAATATTTCCCTCTGAAATATAGTAAATGTAAGTATACTGTATGGTATCATAATAAGCACATTATCAGGCAAAGTTCACCTCAAAAACTAAAAGAATAACTTGAGTGAATCAACTTAGTTATTTTGTACTATTGCTTGTAGATTAGGTCTGTTTAAGTGTTTGATGAGTAAAAAGGTGTTACACATGTGATTAAGTGTTATCCTCTTTAATGTATTCATAAATGGATCACATTTACTAACAAATGTCTTCCTGCATTGACTGTACTGTACAGTTGCTCAGTTAGAAAAGGAAAGCCGCAGTGCAAAACAAACACCAAGTCAAATTAATTTGCATGATTACCAGCTGCAATGGAAATACTGCCATTCCAACCAGCTATAGTCAGGAGTAAATGCATAGGGATCAGAATTGGATGAAAGGACAAGGTGGTGGCAGTGGTGGCGAGCAAACGGAGTGAACGATGGCGTCAGGTGTGATTCCTGGATGTCAGGTAATGAGTGATCTCCTGACTCTCCGTGAGAAAGGGGTCCTCTTCACTCTGCTCCACCCTCAGTGTAAGGTCAGTTCGGGTTTACTGCTGTCAATTTAAATGATCAGTTTAACAGAATCTTCCTCAGTATAATTATGTGTTCTCTGAATGTTTAACCCAGGAATCAGCTAAATTAAATTGTCCTCTGAGTCTGGTAAACACTGTGATTGCCATAAATGAACATATTAAGAATTAGTGGAGCTTATAAATAAATGTTTTAACCAAAGGAGAAAGAAAATACATATTTAAAGGTAAAATATTTGAAAATGAATATTTCTCCGTTGAGTTGAACATGTGTTCTTGTATTTCCTGGTGTTGTTTTCATGTTATCAGTAACATTGATCGGAGCAGGCCTGGTGGATGAATGGGCTTTCTGTGAGGGCTGTTTTGTTTGCTTTGTGTTGCATGACACAACCTGAATATGGTAGCAGAGCAGGTGCTACATGATGTAAACATGTAGATTAGAGCACTTTAAAGAGCAAAGAAGTTAGAGGCGGGTGAACATTGCTCCTGCAAATGTAGCCAACTGAAAGATTTCAATCAATAAGATTCAGGTTTAATGACTAATTACCAAAATGTTAAAGAAACTAAAGGGTAGCTGCATATTTAATAAAGGTGTCAGAATAAATTAAAAAATAGATAGCAGTTGTTTTTACAGACAGATTTCAGTGTGTCATCAGTATAAAATTAGAACATTAGATGTCAAAGTGTATCATAAATAGGAAAAAAAGGATCAACTGTAATCCTGTACCTTCATTCTCTATTGGTAATAATAAATCATCACACACATGGGAACTAAATAAGGTAACAAAGTTTATGTTGGGCTGTTATATAATAAAAAGTTAAATGGATAATTTCCCAGCATCATGCCCTCTTGAAAGAGGTCATGGTCCCTCTGAGAAGTTGCCTCTCCACTCTGAAACTAAAGCAGAATGCATCAAAAGACAAGAGTTGTTTGTTATATCATACATTATAAAAGCTAAATGAAAGTGAAGGCAGGTTGGTGGTTGGATTGTTAAATATTTAGAAAAGGAGAGGGCTTGTGGATAATACAAAATACCAGTACAAAACTATGTTTCTTGTGGTATAGGGAAGATGCCCAAACACAGACTAAACCGTATTCCCAATCAGGAAAGCTTGGTGGGACTTAAAAGTCTTCCGTACCTTCACCAGCAGAGAAGAGGCTTTTAAACAGCTCAGCACATGTAATCATTTTAGCCTGCTTTGGTAATTAAGTATATTACATGTCACTTGTTAGACGCTTTTATCCAAAGCGACTTACATACTCAATACTGTGGGCAATCCCCACAGGAGCAATTTGGGGTGAAGTGTCTTGCCCAGGGACACAACGACATGCTGACTGCAGTGGGATTCGAACTTGCTATCCTCTGATTCGAAGATCAGCGCACTAATCCACTGAGCCACAGCCTCCTGTTAAAGATTATCATTGCATTTTTTTTTTTTGATTTGTACTGGTGTGTTGCAGCTGATCCAGTCCACAGTAGCTCAGGTTCTGGTGTCTGAAGGGACCGGGGGGGAGAGTCCCGGCTGGAGTTGTTTGGGTTGTGGCGCTGTGTGTCTCATCGAGGATACTTCCATCCACACCTGCTTCCTGCGCCTGTACTGTGTCAAGGTAAGAGGGACTGCAGAACTGATTAGAGTTACTCCACGTACACCTTTGATTTGCAATTACATTTAACATCTTGTTGTGTGTCCCTGTACCTTTCCTAATGTAACTTCTACAGTACAATATCTGCTTATAACCCCTTTCACTTTTCCTTTCTTTTGACCATTCCTGTGTCTTTTCCTGAACAAAGCGTGCGATGTTACTGTGGGAGCAGGAGCTGTACATCCCTTTCAAATACACCGCACCTTGCAAGTTCTTCCACACATTCCCTGCAGATGTAAGCAAGCATCAGTGAATGCAACACGCTCATTAGATTCAGTGCTGAAATGTTACTATAAGTACATTAATTCAATGCGTTCAGTAAATAGATTTGTGAGGTTCCCTTAACTTAAGAATATATCATTTATTCTACTTATATATATACTTTTACTCCACAGCATTTTTTAAGTCAATATTTTACTTTTCACTCCAATTCATGTATTTTAAAGTTTTAGTTACTTTGCAGATTAAGTTTATTCATATAAAGTATAAATCAATAATGCTAAATGTATTATAACGGAATAAGCTGCCCTACAATAACAAATAAAGTACATTTTGGAAATTGGCTCCACCTTAACCACCTGCAACATTAAAATGATTCTTTCAAATAATTCAACACTAATTATATCCCGATCTATCTATTATTTAAGTATCATCCATCAGGTGATACATTTTTGAGTCTTTTTTCATGGATTTACTATGTCTGAACAGGGCAACCAGGTAGGCCTCAACTTTGCAAATGAGCCAGAGGCAGAAGAATTCCTTCTGTCCGTCGAGGCTGTCCAAAGAGACCAAGGTGAGAATAACAGCAGTAACATGATAAACACACTTCAAATGTGAAGGTGAAAACAGCTCTGTCACTTTTCATTTCCTCTAATTTCACGCCTTCTGTTTTTCAGAAAAGATGACCATGATGAGTGAAAAAACAAATGTTGAAAACAAAAACAAATCCACAAGTGATCCGCATAGTTCTGGGTGACAAAAATGTTCAAATGCATAGACGTACAGAGGTGAAGAGAGTGGTGGATTAAAGGGATGGTTTACTTTGTCTTTCAGTACAATTAAGCCACTGGACCTTTTAGACAAGGAGCCACATTTTCAGATGGAGGAAACGTCCACGGTAATAAATCACATAGTGAGACTCAAACTGTGATTAGACATTCTGGAAACAGCGCGCTAATTCAGTCCATTCCCTGTTTCCCTCCTTGAGATATGTAAGGATCTGGACCCGGCTATGAGGAGGCTGTTGATGCAGGCCAGCCTCACTGAGGAAGATCTGAAAGAAAAAGACGTTGCCGAAGCTGTCGACTGCATCATCAAGCAATTTGGAGGACTAAAGGCTGTGCAGAGAGAGCTGAAGAACAGAGGTACTTTATCTGGAAAACATGTTTCGTAGTGTTTGCTTCTTTTGTTTTTTTTATGCTGAAAAATGTAACATTTAAGTAATCTAAGATCTTTTAAGACAGTTCTTCTGCATATTTGACAGGCCCATCTCACACTTTGCCAAGAGCTGCAGGGGCCTCCATCTCCCTCTCTCTGAAGAAAGGGCCTTTACCACCGGTTCCCTCCAAAGGCAGCAGCACCCCCCAGTCGGCACCACTGTGGACTGACTCACTACATCAGAGTACAATTCCCCTGCAGATTCCTCCTCCTCCATCTACTCCCGCTCCAGTTCTCCCAGAGAGGATCCGAAAGAGCGCAAGTTTCAAACCTGTAAGCTGATGTTCCAGTTGTGTACATTTGAAAATGTAAAATGTTTGGAGAGTGATCTTCTCTTTTGTGGTATCAGGTGGGCTCATCAACAGCTACAGAAAAAGGTGACCTTATTCTGAATGCCATGAGGGAAGTCTTCAGACAAAAGCAGATGCAAAGGACAAGTGCAGATCAGAGAAATGTGGAGCCAGACACTAACGGCGACAAGACCTTTTGAAGAAACTCCTGTTTGAATTGTGCTGTGATACACTCATTTAAATTGTATGTGATATGGTGAGATGCTGACTCTTATCTCTTATTCTCTCACAAGGCCATAGCTGAATCAAGCTGTTAACACAAGTTACTGCTGCGCCCCCATGTCACTGCATTTTAATCAGACGCTGTTGCCTCCAGGAAGCTTTTATTCATAATCTAACTAGTACTCCTGCGCTGTAATACTACCTGGTTGCATGCTTTTATTATTGTGTAAGTTTGTTTCTGCAAAACTTTAATTATTCCATTCACTTCATTTCAATTTCATCCATTTCCTTTATTTGAGTTGATTAGAGAAGAAGAAATTCACACAAGAAAAAGGGAAAATCACAAAATCACTGATAAAGAACAAACCTAAAACAAAGCCAATAGGAATAAAATGTGGAATTGGTCAAAAGTATCTAAAGACTAATAAACTAATAAAGCAATCCAAAAGCATAAAATATGTATCCCTTAACCTGACACTGAAGGAGCTCAAATCCTGTTTCACTCCAGAATTGTGTCAGTTCTTACCTTACAGGCTGTGGAACCAGGAAATACCAGAACATTTAAAATACTATTTTGTGATTTAATGTTTAATAATCTGCACCCTTAAACTGAAATAAATCTATACATTTTGACATTATTCCAGTTAAAGACATGGCCTGAAGATTGTGTGTAAATGCTTCTTGTTTGATAATGTATTTAATCAATACAAATGCTATAAAACATTTACAATAAAATAAAATGTGTTCTGGGGGTTCAGGGGCAGCTTCATGCACTGGCTGGTGCATATAATACCGATTATTATTCTGACATAAAAAAGGGCTTAAACATATTTAACCAGGGTAGATGGATGCTCATGAGCAAAGCAAAACAATAACAAGTGGCTGTGCTTGTGCACGTGCATGCGTGCGTATGTAGGCGACATGAGCGCGCGCCTCTCTCTCCATTCATTGCTGCGCTGCTGCAGGACTCACTCTGCTCACCACGCTGGAGAGAGGAAGCTTTAAAAACCGGGACCATGAGGGGCTCCTGTCGCTCCAGAAACACCCGGGACAGGGCAGGTAGGGTGCAAACTCCCACTGAGATCTTACTTTTCTGTTTCTTATTTATGTTCTGTAAACTCTCTTAAGTCGACATAGTGTGTAGTGAGTGCTACAGAGCAGCTGGGCTAGGCTGAGGAAGTAAACAAGTCTCTGTCACGTAGGCATGCTCCAGAGCTGACAGGGATGAATACCGAGGAAACACGGGTCAGGCTGCAGCAGGAAACATGGTTACAGACTGCTTTCGTGTAATACATAGTATGCAAATACAGGGATGCCTAAGTAGCTAAAGCATCTTCCTATCTGCTGCTAATCCTGTCTGCAGCTGCTGGTTAGCTAGCCTGCAAGCTATCTGGTGGGCTAACAGAACAGTTCATGAGAGGATGTAAACACGACTGTTTGTTTTCGGGTCAAGAACCACGAGATGGCAGATCTGAGAGATGAAGTTGCAACTGCAGAATGTTCGAGAAATATCTAGTTGTTTTTGCTACTATAAAGCTGATGTGAGGACATACTATGTGGAAGGAGGTGAGAGTAGGTCAGATGGACTTCTTTGAACACCCTTACCTCCAGGCTCGTTTTACTGCAGATCTTAACCTCAACGCACTTTTAGGAGTTTTTGTTTTCAAAGGATATTGTAGGCTTGCTTTTAATAGTTTTTTTTGTCTTGTTATAGGGATACTTGTAGCTTAAAAATGCGATTTACACATTTGTATTGTTGGATCAAGTGTAAGAAACCCAATTGATACAAAATATGTAGCAGTGGAACTTTTAGTGGCTTGTGTCAAATATATTTGCATGTTACTGTTGACATTTAAGCCTGAACTTGTTTGTGTTTACTTTTGCATACTGTCAAACCCAACCTACTATTCTATTAATATTCTCGATGAATACTTCACATACTACAAAGGATTTCATTTGCATATGAATGACATCTGAACCAGTGCAGATACTATGGCCTATATATGTTATTTAGGGCCTCGGGTGATGGCTTTTGCGTAACTCTTTTTTTGATGATGCCTGGAGGATCTGTTTAACATTGTGTTACTGTACTGTCATATTGACAAACGCCATGCAGAGAGGACAAAGTCTATCCAACAAGTCCGTGATAGATTTTGTATCTCCAGGGACAGATAAACTGACATTTGCACGCATATGAGGACAGAGGTTTAAAATGTTGTGGCAGATATACGAGGGATGAACAGAGCTCAGTGTTGGTGTGCAGAATATGCTCTGCTGTCAGTCTGCCACACAGAGCGGAGGAGCAAAGCAGAAAGACAGGAAAAACATGCTAGAAGATGCTACATGTGTATTCGAGGGAGAGCCTGGCCCAGTTATTTTAAGGTCAAGTACAAACACTGCTTTGTATTATAGCTTTTCAGTATGGGCCTAAAGTCAACCAGCACGTTAAGCTGCCTCTGCTGTAAACAGGGATGTTAACAAGTCACTGTTTGTGAAATTATAGAGTTAGCTTTGTCCTAACTGTGTTTAAAACTGCAGACGGAGCGAAATATGCTTCAGTGGGTGCAGCAAACCATCACAGATTATTTTCCTACGTGCACTCCATAGTGGCAGAGCAGGATATTTACCCCCACGCCTCATGCCAGCTGCAGTACATTAACCTTCTCCTATCTCCCATTTTCTGTCATACTGAAAATGTTCATCTTTTTTTTTATCTCCGTCAGATCACTTCTCTAAATAATCACAATAAAACACTCCCTCCCATCCTTTCTCGCTGGCTCACTGCGCCTCCCTCCCTCCCTCCCTCCCTCTCTGCTCTCTATCTGGGGGAAAGTTCACCCGCTCGCTCAGAATCTCATTATAGGCTCCATGGCCCAGGCAGAGCTGCAGCCTACGTGTGTGTGTGTTTAAAGCCAACTCAGTCTATGTACGCCTGGTCACTGCAATGATCTTGCTGATGTTTTGACATGTGGGAGCATTTAAGTGTGAGGTTGTTTGTGTTATTTGTGTTTATGCTTTCAAATGTTGCAACATTTCTGTCCAATGGAGACATTGATCTTTCTGGCTTAGATGAAACCTCCTCTTCTGTCATCCCTGGCATGTAACACAAAACGAACATATAGATCAGTTCTGCATTACACTACAAAATAATAGTCTATTAATCATAGTTGATTGACACCAAACGTATTAACAATATATTTGATAATCAAGTAATCCTTTTAAGACATTGGTCAATCATAAATATTAACCATTCTCTGTTTGCCTTTTCTTTAACTTATATCTTTGTCAAATTCATGTATTTTTGGTCGGACTGTATAAAACCAGCTGTCAAAATTACAACCTGGGGCCTTACAGGGTTAAGGCCTTGCCTTGAGCTATATTTGAACGCCCCTTTCTGCATACTTTTATTGCGAGTATGTTTTTCATGGTTTTAGCTAGAGACCTTTTTATTTTAAAAATAGTACAGCATGCATTATGTTAATATTTTAGGAAATAGTGCTCTGTATTTTTTGTGAACAGGGACATCTTTAAAAGGTAAAGGTTTTCTTCCAATATTTGTTCGCCAAAACTAGGTCCTCAACTAGAAAGTTGACAGGCCAGCACAGAGCCCTCACTTCAACCCAGTCTACATTTTAAAATGAGTTTAAATGCTTACTGAAGGAAGGCCTTATTGCCCAAAATCTGTGTCCTTCCTAAAAGCAGAAGCTGTTATAACCGCACTATGCTACATCTTAAAGCAAATATCAATCATATATATATATATATAAAGTATACTCCATAATTGCAATACAACATATTATACTTAAGACAGAAATGGAAAAACACATACAAGAGTGCATGAAAATAGACAAGAGTCCATGGAAATAGACAGGAGGTTACTTGAAACTAATATGACACACTATTGTAGTCTGGAAATCTGTAAATTAGGTAATATCAAGCTACGATGTCATTAAGACAGTGAAAGCAGAGATACTTTATATGGTTTTATTTTGTGTGTATATAGCTGAACAAAAGTATCATAAACTTTTGCTTGCCACAGATCTTATTTTCTTAAAGGGAACCAGCTCTTAATTCTAACTCGCAACCAAATAATTTTTATTTTAGATTTTATGTTAAAGCAGGTCAAACAGAGACTTCACACTGGATATGTTGGTGTGGGTGTGTGTGCCTGTGTGCGTGTGCATGTGTCTGTGGTGAAGTGTGTTGTTGGTGGGATTAGTCCTGCTGACATGCTGAATCTCGTCTGACCTCTGTGTGTGTTTACTGTCGCAGTAGATGTTTGATGATAACACAGCGGCCAGTAGGATAAAACCTTTTTTTAATGTCAACATCAGTTGAGTAAAAATTGGTCTAGAAGTGAGTCGGCAGCTCCCCCTGGTGTTACATCTCTGACTCTACATAAGGCTTCATCAATAACAAAACAATTAAATATCCCAACAACTCACAGTGTTATAAAATTGACATGATTTAGTCATTAGTTGAAAGTGAAACTTGAACCACTTGTGGCTTCTGCTCAGTGTTGTGCAAAGCTGCTGCACTGGACCTTTTTTTGTCTTGTGTAGCTGTAGTCAACATGTTCTCTCCAGTTTCATATTGTTTTGGTTGTGTACAAATGCTATTCACACATATTTTGGCTTCTGACCAACACACTGCTGTGTAGAAACAAAAACAAATCATGACAAAGGTGTTTTGTATGCAATACTTAAATGTACTAGAGAACAGATAATAGGTTTGCTGCTGCTGTAATGATTTGTCTATGAATCAATTAGTTGATATGCAGGAAATGTATTGACAATAGTTTGGGCCATTTATCATAATTTGCTGATTCATACATTTTCAATTTCAAGATGCTGGTTTTCAGTTATTTTATATCTTTGCTGATTGAATGTATTGGGTTTTAAATGTTTGATCAGACAAAACAAGCTACTTGGCGGTGCTCTCTTGGTCTGTGGTAAGTTGTTGTTGTTATTGGCTGCAACCTATTTTGCAGTTTATGGATGTATCTAATGATCTGCTGATTATTTGTAATAACTAATGGAGTCTTTATTTTTGAAAATATCCGGATAAAATAGTACAGAATGACCATTATGACTTATCAGAGGCCAAAAGGACATCTTGAAATGGCTCCTTTTGTCCAACCTTCCCTCAACCAAATGATTTTGAATGTATATTTATTTCAAATGTGATAAAGCGGCATATCCTCCATTTTGAAGAACTGAAGCGAATCAATACGATTAATTGATTTTCAGAATAGTTGTCGATTCATTTAATAGTTTATGACTAATCAATTAATCTTTGCAGATCTAGTACTATCATTAGTTTCGACCCGAAATTGACCTGCACAGCAACTGTTGGTGGCTGGCTTTCTCTAAAAAAAAAAAATGTGTAGACTATAAGATTATAAGAACAGTTATTGTCATTTTAAAAAAAAAAATCTAATAGTGGTTCATCATCCATTGTTTTACATATGTTTTCCTCATCTTATGACACAGTCAAGTCAGTCAAGTTGTTGATGACTTTTGCCACAGGAAGGCTGTGTGCTGGTATCTGTGAGGCCCGTGGCGGGGTCGTGTGCAGACAGTTTCACTGAAGATGTTGATGTGAGCTCCCAGCCATCACGCCCTCCATGTCCCAGAGCCTCCTCTCCTATTGGCTACTGTACCTCTCGTCTCTTCTCTGATTGGCTAACTTCTCAGCTGCATTCACTGCCCATGTGTACAGCATGTGAACAGCTGAACGCTTGTTTTTCACTATCTGCCTTTTTCTACCATTCTTGCTCACTCCGTGCGACATTACGGTAACATTAAGTAGGCTATTTGCCTGTGCTCTCGAGATATTTCTGAGAAGGATTTTCAGGGCTTTTCTTTGGTTGTGTTTTACATCTCAATAAGTTTAGTAAAGTCCTAAGCGTCACACGACTGAAATATGTGAAAAGATAACAAAAAGAACAACAGCTTTACATTATCAAATCTTATCTGTGATTGACAGAAAGGTTTCCTTTAGTTGTGCATTGGCGACTTTTTGACATTTGATATGATTATTTGTACTTTCAATGTCATTATTTTTTAATATGGAAAAATAGTAAGTATACCTTGAGTTAGGATACTTTGTCCATCATGGTATTTATTTAATTTTCCTCTTTTGAGTGAATATACAAACACTGACATACGTGCGTTTCGAGGAAGAGGAAGAAGAGGAAGAAGAAGAAGCATTAGAAGAAGAAGATTAACCTTTATTTTGTTTGTTTCCAGCCTCAAGACATTAGTGCATTGTGTGCTGCTGAAGCATCACAATGTAAAACGTCTTGAATGAATCCCTGGAATAGCACTAAACTTGAAATAAGTAAATAGTTGAGGCAGTTGCTCGGGGTTAAAATAACACGAGTGAACTGCTGCTTAAGCAAAGTCACATCCTGTCCCTCTTTTGTTTTTCCTCAACTCTCGCTGCGCTCCGCCTCCAGTGTTTACGGCAGTGGATCAACTCCCGTTTCTCAGCTGATATGACATCCATCCCCCGGCAGCCTGCTGCACCAGACCGCCGGGCTACAGCCCACCGCTCACTTCACCGTTAGCAGTGCAGCATCAGTGAACCAACCTAAAGGATGTTAGACAACGAAGAGTTCATGCTGGAGAACTCCCCGCGGGAGCTGACCCAGAACCCGCTGAGGAAGATCTGGATGCCGTGCAGGAGCGCGCACATCGCGCAGAGAGGCGGTAAGATGCGGAGGACTGGCACGAGCCGCACAGGGATGGGACTGGGAGCTGATTTGGGCTCCTGCTGATCACATGCCTTATTTTTTGTTTATTTTGTTCTTAATATATATATTTTTAAATATTGTATCCTGGGTCAGTCAGGCTTTGATTTTATAGCTACTCCGATATGTGATATTTACGTTTGTTTAAAACCATGCGCAGTAAAATAAGTGCTGAATATTTCTGCCCTTTTTCTTTTCTTTTTTGTAAGTGTTGCATAATCTTACCCCCACCCCCCCTTATAATACGGGCATGGAGGTACATTTGAATTGCAATCTCGGTGAATTAGATTTGGTCATATGACACATTTGACCCAAATACATGCATTTGCCCTCAAGACCAGCCTTCCTGTCTGATGTGTTGACCTGAGAGAGTGGAGGAGAGAGGGAGCAGCTGTGTTGGGCTTCAGATCTCAGTCTGCAGGTCGGTCTGCTTTTCGCTGAGTCAAGCTCACAAGCAGTCTAGTCTTGTATCTGGCTCTAAACACTCTGTGCTTCAACTTCATCTCTTATTATTGTGAGTCTCTCTAGACATTAATCCTTAATCCTTTGTCTCATTTGATGAGAGAGGGCAGGAAGTGTCCCGCAGGGATATTTGCAAGTGCTTAGGGTTGTGACCTTTATATGGATGTGACTAGTTTTTTTTATTAGCATTTGGTTTGGCCTTTGTTTATATTACCAAAAACATGTTGATGGAAAGTAGACATATTTGCCTGCAGAATCTCAAATGCTCTCATTGCTTGTATGTTTGACATCCCTAAATAATGATAAAGGAAACCTAGAAAAATAATTATATTTTAGTAAGAATGACAAATAAATCTAGGTAACAGAATGTGATTTACTTCCAAAAACATCCTCAACGTTTAAAGATTCAGCTTCCAAATTCCCCAAGACTTTTGTGCCCAGTAAGAAATGCTTAACAACCCGAGCCTTATTGTTCCACAGCACGTCGCTGTCCTAATGAACCAGCGTGTGTCTCTGCTCAGCTTTTACAGAAGTGTGTGAGGGGTTTCAACCTTCTGAGCTCTACTTGTACAATATCATCCTTATATTCAGTATAAGGTCTCCTTAAGAGCTATTCTCAAGTCTTGATGAGACATAATTCAAAAGGGGTTATTGTTTGTTTCATGGTCTAGAGAAAGATGTGTTTTGTTCACTGTTTCAGTTGTTGTAATAATGTGTGTCACTGTCACTCAATGTGAGCCAACAAGTGTTCTCAGTGTCTGCTGTAATTATGAGCGGTCTTCTAAACTAATTAAACTCTTGCTGAATGAAACAATGTTGACAAGCCATGCTAAGCCAATACCTATACAGAAATGAGTTAAATCTCTTAAAGCTCTGTGTTTCTCTCTCTCCCTCACACAGTGTGCATGACAAACTGCCCGACCCTCATCGTAACGGTTGGACTTCCAGCTCGAGGGAAGACCTACATCTCAAAGAAGCTCACACGCTACTTGAACTGGATAGGTGTGCCAACTAAAGGTAATAGCTGCCCCAACACATTCACAGATATATTCACATATTACTTTATTTGGAAAGCAGCAATGCTCCCGTCTGGTAAAAAAACCTAATTTTGTAATATGTTACAGAGTTCAACGTTGGCCAGTACCGGAGGGAGTGTCTGAAGATCTACAAGTCCTTTGAGTTCTTCCGGCCAGATAACGAGGAGGGGTTGAAAATCAGACGGTAAGTCTACGCCAGGCCTATCAACTACCTCCACCTCCGCTGTTTCACTACAGCATGGGGTGTGTCTACAGATAAGATAACAAGTAGTATTTCTGTAGGTAATTCTGTGAAAGGTTTAAAGGTAGGGTAGGTAAGTTTAAGAAACCGGCTCGAGATCGCTAGAATTTGAAAATACACAACCGGAGAAAATCTGCCACTTCCTTATAGAGCCCCTCCTCCAACACACACGAACGCGCACATGACCAATGAGGGCACGAGATAAGTTTGTGCACAGATGGAAGGCTGACAGGCAGGTAGGCCATCCAGTTATTTTAGCCGGGCCGGCTAAAATGATTGGTCGTACTTTTTACAGTATTACGGCTTCCACAGATTACATTTTGTATGGATTTTTTGTCAAAGCACTTAAGATATTCATTGCTATCGGGATGTTAAGAGCATTCCATGGAATATAACAAAAAGTGTATCTCGAGCCGGTTTCTCAAACTTACCTACCCCACCTTTAATAAGAATAAAGTTTTAAGAACCTAAACTTCCTTTGTGAAAACAAAAATGCAAAGGAACATAATTGATATTGAACAAATGTTTTACTTTCTAGTTTACCTTCGACCTTCAGTGTGCACACATTGTTTTAAATCGATGGGGGTTGGGTGCCAGATATCTTCATCTTCATAAAAAATCCTTTCAATAAAGCAGAAATGTAAACCACTTTTAATTCAAGGTTGTCTCATATTGTCTGTCACATGATATTTTGTATGTTAATGTTATGATCTGCACTTGCTGTGTTGTAGTTTTATCGTGTTTAGTTTTAATAATAGAATACCACAATTTAAATACGCCTTTGGCTTTGTTTTGTTAAAGGTAGGTTAGGTAATTCACTTCAGAAACACTTTTTGTTCCATGGAATGATCTTAACAAATGCTTTGACAATAAATACATAAAAAAAATTCATCTGTGGAAGCCGTGGCGCTGTAAAAAGCACGACCAATCATCTGAGCCGGCCCGGGTCAAATAACTGGATGGCCTACCTGCCTGTCAGCCTTCCATCTGTGCACAAACTTATCTCGTGCCCTCATTGGTCATGTGCGCGTTCGTGTGTGTTGGAGGAAGGAAGTCTGAAGGAAGGGGCAGATTTCTTCCGGTTGTGTACTTTCAAATTGTAGCGCACTCGAGCTGGTTTCTCCATTCTTACCTACCCTACCTTTAAATGTTATTTTAACTAATAAATTCAGCAGTGGATGTATTTGGGTATTAAAGTAAGAAGTCTTTGCTGTTTATGTCCTCCAACAGTCAGTGTGCGTTAGCTGCACTCAACGATGTCCGGCAGTACCTGAGTGTGGAAGGAGGACAGGTGGCGGTGAGTCCTTAAAGATGTCCTTAAGTTATCATTAGCAAATGATAATAATATCAGTTCATAAACTGTACATTAGAGTTGCCTAAAGAAATATTTGACCTGTTGTTTCAGGTGTTTGATGCCACAAATACAACAAGAGAACGAAGAGGGACCATCGTCAAGTTTGCTGAGCAGAATGGCTTTAAGGTATGTCAAATAAGGAAACGTGGGATTCTGATTCCTCCTGACTTCCTGACTCCATGCTTATCATAACATCTTGTCAATGCAGGTGTTCTTTGTGGAGTCTGTGTGTGAAGACCCAGATGTCATTGCACAAAATATAGTGGTAAGCCTTTTTCTCTTCTTATTCTATCCATACAAATCACTTAAAATACAGTAGTAAAAAAACTGTATTCATTTAAAGAATAATAGAAAGTGATCTGGTCAAATTATTCTCACTTCTATATGATGGCGTGACGTTCAGATCTAAAACACTCGGACATGCAGAGTCAGAAAGCTCACTTCCTCTCTTCTCTGCTCACATCCTCTCTCTCTCTCTCTCTCTCTCTCTAGCAAGTTAAGTTGGACAGCCCAGATTACATAGACTGCAACACAGAGGAGGCCATTGAGGACTTCATGAAGAGGATCAAGTGCTACGAGTCGTCCTACCAGCCTCTGGACGAGGTTCTGGACAGGTGAGGAACACAGATGATTTAGAGAAGAATACATGTTCTGCTCAAGATCTGCTTAAGAAGAGACTATGCACATTATCATGAGCCCTGGAGCCAGTCTTGTAAAAATGCCAGATTTAGCCACAAAGGCTAATTTTCATCTGCAGTGCCTGGCAGGTTAATGGCATTAAAGGAAAACATAAGCACAGAAAAAAAAACTGAACTGTGACTGCCTCTCTTCTCCAGGGATCTCTCCTACATAAAGATCATCGACGTGGGCTGTCGTTTCCTGGTGAACCGCGTCCTTGACCACGTCCAAAGCAGGATCGTCTACTACCTGATGAACATCCACATCACGCCACGCTCCATCTACCTGTGCCGCCACGGGGAGAGCGACCTGAACATCAAGGGCCGGATCGGAGGAGACTCTGCTCTGTCTGCCAGAGGAAAAGAGGTGCGTGTCACACCTGAGATCAAATATCCTCCAAGTTTTGTGGAGAAATGATTGTTCTCATTGGATTTTATCTGGTGTTCTAGTATGCCAAATGTCTGAGGAAGTTCATCCAGGAACAGAACATCACAGATCTGAAAGTGTGGACGAGCCAGATGAAGAGGACCATCCAGACGGCGGAGAGCCTGGGAGTGCCGTACGAACAGTGGAAGTCTCTCAACGAAATAGATGCTGTACGTTGAATCATCAAAATACATTTAACAGCCTTATTTTAAGCTATGTTTACTCAAGTTTAACACATATTCTCCCCTCTTAACAAAGGGTGTGTGTGAGGAAATGATGTACGAGGAGATCCAGGAGCATTACCCTCTGGAGTTTGCACTGAGAGACCAAGACAAGTACCGCTACCGCTATCCCAAAGGAGAGGTGAGAGTGTGATTCTTCCTAAAGTCTGGGGATAATTCTTAAGAGGGGAATGGATTTGTTTGTGTGCTGTGATTCTGACAGGTCTCTGTTTCTCTCCCAGTCTTATGAAGACCTGGTGCAGCGCCTGGAGCCTGTGATCATGGAGCTGGAGAGGCAGGAGAACGTTCTGGTGGTTTGTCACCAGGCCGTCATGCGGTGTCTTCTTGCATATTTCCTGGACAAGACTGCAGGTATGAAAGACTCCCAGTAGATTACAACGTATTATCAAGCTGTAAATATGCAGCACACCTTGACCCTAAAAGAAGTTTCATAGCTTTCTGTCTCTGCCTCCACAGACGAGTTGCCTTATCTCAAGTGCCCTTTGCACACGGTGTTGAAGTTGACCCCCATGGCCTACGGTGAGTTGTCATTTTCAAGACTTAGATTGCAATATATTCTTTTTAACTTAATTCATTTTGATACAATACAGTATAACTCCCATGTTGTTTGATTTAAAAACAATCCTATTTTCAGTCTTAGGTAAATAAAAAACACCTAGACACAAAATAATGTAATTATCATAGAACAAATTCTCACACCATGCTTTTTTTTTTTGCTGGAGGACCCTTATCATGATTTATGAGTACCTTATTTAAAATGGTTTGATTGTTTTTCACCATAAAAAGATGCCTGTCCTATCAGTGATGCAATGCAAATGTAATAAAGCTTGTTCAGCATGTTTCACGGCCATTTTCATAATCATATTTGATGATACCGGGAATCTCCACTATTTGTATCTTGCTATCTCCACTAACTTTGAATAATTGCTGTGCTCTTCCTCAGGATGTAAAGTGGAGTCTGTGTATTTAGGCGTGGACTCGGTGAACACACACAGAGACAGACCCGAGGTAGGTATCACAGGCAGCTCTCAGAAATGTCTCTCAGCAGAAGACCACTTGAGTCCCCTTCAGGTGTGACTCGCTTCACTGCGTTTTCCACACAGCTCCTCGGGGACCGGGGACGCAAAGGGGAGAATGTCACGCAGTAAACACGTCACCTGTAGACGCCGTGTGTGACTTTCATCATTACTGGAGAAGCACATTGTATGTCTTACATCATTTTAAGTCTGCATCTCCCACCTGAAGCAGTCAGTGCGGACCCTCCTCTCTCTGAGAACGCACATCTTTCACACATGGCAGAGGACCCATGTCCCGATGCACCGGTGTTTCCTGACAGAACGACAACTGCGACACAGAATGACCATTGACGCTCCTACCTCCATCCTGCCAGCAGTGACCTTTTCTCATCTCATGTTTGTCCTTTGTGATGGGTATTTGTTCTCATGTCTTTTTCTGTATTGGCCCTAAGAGGTCAACACACTGCTACTTAAGAAAATGCATGAAATAAGAGAAAACGCTGCAAAGTACAACCAAATACAGAAACTGTCAATCACATAGATGTCAAACTGTTATATTCGCTTAACAGAAAGACTCTTTAGAATTGAATATACAAAAAGTAATCCGTAGTCCAACAGCAGACATCTGAAATAATAATTCAACCATATAATCAGAATGTAAAAACAAAACTTTAATTTTCCAACAACACTGACTCCACAGCTAGCTGTTCTTCTGTTGTGTCCTGACTTGCAACATGTTTGTTTTTTTCTATTAAATGCTGCAAATGTGGTGTCAGACTGGTGAAGATTTTCCTCCATTTCTTCATTCCTTCACTAGCTGCAGTGTGTTGAGTTCTCGGGGCCTACATTTTTCATCTCAGTACATAACTGGAATCCAGTTTCAGGAGGAATCCCTCGGCTGTGTGTATTTGTACATCTATATTTGTGAGGACCAGTTTGACTCCGACCTCTGGAGCGACGACATATTTTAGACTTTTGGTGGTGTTTAAAGTGCTGATTAAGGGTGGGGGCTAGGGAATTAGCTGCCTCACAAGTATAGAGGTGTGTGTGTGTGATGAATAGTGAATGAAGGAGAGAACATAAGAACATTACATACATATCATTTCTTAAAATACAATTTCACCCTGTTTTTTTTGTATGTTTGCCGGTTTGCATTAAAGCCTGTTTTTTGTACACTTCCCCTTTACATAATTTTCTTCTGCACATGAATTATTTTCTTACTTTGTCTGTTTACTGCCTAAATGTGAAGGGTTAATCTGCAATGCCCACCAAAATGAAATGCTAAACTTAAATAAAGATAATTGACAGTTTCAACCATTTGTTTGAGCACGCACATGCTTAAATGATTTATCATGAAATGTAACGTTTTTGTTTTGGTTGTGAAGATTATTGTAAATATAAAAGTCCAAAATGGAAAAAATCCTCTTTTCTCCCGTTACTCTTTTCTGTAATCATTGATCAGTTCAAAAACAGTGACTAATAAGTACATGTATCAAAGGGAGGGGGGGTGCCAGACTTGATGTGTCCCAATCAAGCGTTGAGTAATGAATGGATACAATATATACATGATTGTAGAGTAAAATGCTTACTTCTGTGCTATAACTTATTCTGAAGTATTCTGAACCATGAGCAAGTATTGGCTAAAGTCAATCTAACTTTTAAACTTATTTTACGAAAAACCGTTCTTTTAAAAACCTCTGCCATTCATAAACTCAACGAATAGTAGATATACGCATGCATCCTGCCTTCATTAAAGTCATTTTATCAGTAGATCAAAATATGGTTATGTTTTTTTTTAATGAAGGATAAGGTAATGGAGGATTTTAACGCAGTGCTTTTCTCACTGTTTCAGAATGTGAGAGCGCAGCGCACGACAGAAGACGCTCTGCTGACGGTCCCAGCTCATCTCTGACCTCTGACCTCTGCTCCTCCTCCGGCTCTCTGAACTGCATCAAGGTTCAAACTGTAAAGCACTTTCACTAAACGTAATCCATTTTTATACGTCTCGTTTTGTTGTGAGCTGAACTCCTACTGTAGCTTAACTCCCTGTGAGAAAAACTAAAGAATATGCCAATATTTTTGATAAATGGGTTTACTTTTATTGTTGCAATGATTATATTCCCTTAACTTTCAGCACCTTTTTCCATGATATTATTTATATTCCACTGTATATTGTGAAATGTATACTGCCATATAATCTTAGTGTCTCTGAAGAAGTCAAAGAGCTGTGAAGAGACTGTTACTACGAGAGACTCTGGATTAAAGTCTTGAATCCCTGAGATCAGAAACGTTTAAGAAGACAAAGAAGAGGGTTTGTTTTAACAGCGTTTCCTTTGCTAGATGTTATATAAAAAAGATAGCGCCATTTTTCTCAGTGTGTAAACTCTGAGTAAAAAGATTGATATCAATCTTAAAACATTCCAGAGGTGAAGATGAAATCCTTTCCCCACACAGGACGTAATACACTGTAAACGGAACTGACACAGATGCAGCAGATGTTCTGTATCACACATCTTGGGACGAGCCTCTGCTAGTTATCGTTTTTTAAACCAAAAGGGATTTTTTTGGACTCTGAGGGGGCTTCAGATTTTGGCGATAAAGTGAAATGCTAATACAAATCTTCGGTCTGAAGTCAGTCGCTTTCGATTGAATAATAATGTGATAATTCAAACAAATGCCTTTTTGGAGTATAAAAAGAACTGTGTACACGCATGTTTGTTTGATGTAAGTTTTCTGTTGGAATTACCATGCAATATATGTTTTTTTTTTTTAAAGAACTATGTATAATTTCTGTAATATTATCCATTTGATATTGTCCATTTCTGTGCTCAAAATATAATTCCAAATGCCTTGTTTGTCTCCAGCCGGGTTATTCAATAAACCCTCGATTTTTGAGGTAACTCATGCAGTGCTCATTGTGCTTCGTGTCACAAAAAAACTCTAAAATACAAAGAATAATATTTTTATTTATCATCACTTTCAGCAAGTATACTTTTTTTAATTATTTCCATCTACAATACATTTTTTCTGTGGACTGAAGAAACGTGCACCAATTGATTGCCCTTGTGGTTTAAGGTCTGTCATAACAAAACATTGCTAAATGAAATGGATATGCATATAATATATATATTTAAAAAACATTTGAATCCATATTACCCTGTGCTCATAAATATTGATAAAAATACCTTTTTAAGGACCTGCCCTGACTTCTAACGTTCTAAAGGCAGAAATGAATGTTTGGTATGAATATTCAATATTTACACACAAAAAATATCAATATTTCTGAGCAAAGATTAAAGGGCAAAAGCCCGTTGGCCTGTACGTCTTATGTTTCTCAACTTCTCTCGGCTGAGCAGATTCAGCCTCCTCTGCTCTGTGAAAGCTCCGCGGTGACGGCCAAGATCGCTAAAGGAATGTATTCCCAGGGTTCTCTCCCTTTTAGAACTGCAAGAGTCAAAGAAAAACAATGTCTAAGAAACAACATCTGAAGGAAATTATGGAATAATAGCTAAACGTTTACTGTATACATATCTGAGTCAAAGTCCTACCATACAAAACTCAAAAGAATGCCACTTGTGCATAATGCTGCATCCATTCGAGCGTGAGATGCAGAAACATTTAGAAACAAACTTAAACTTACATTTTTGAGGAACTCCTCTGCAACAATACGAGCCCTGGCGTTGACAGACAGCTTCATCTCACTGATCTCCTTGTCAATTTCCTCCATGAAATGAATGACAAAGTCCACCAGTTTGTGCTTGTACATCTGCTCTGTGTGGAAGTTGGTGATGAGAAAACTGATGTCATAGCCCTGCGAAATGAAGATGGGTGACAAGAGATTGTTTTAAAAACTCCAAACAGCAATAAACCACACGAATCAAGGTTTCCACTGTTAGCAACAAATCATTTTTCTAGTCAATTTGTGAGTATTTGTGGAAAACATTAATGGCAAAAATCATTTGAAATACATTGATTGGTTTCTGCTATCTCCACTAACTGGAACATTCAGGTTGCGTTCATGAGCAATAACCATTACTGGCCATTTAACTCATCTTTGATGTTTCATAATGTATAAAACAATTGTTATTTTTGGTTCATTACCATCCATTACCTTTAACAGGAAAACGTCTTGCTCGTAAGGCTAGAGCCCAACTTAGATAAGATAAGATAAGATAGTACTTTATTGATCCCAATTTGGGAAATCTTTGTGTTGCAGCAGCAATGTATTGTACAATAAAAATTAAAAGACAAGAAATAAACAAGAAAGTAGAAAATATACATGTTGAATTTACAAATGAACAATAACAAGATGTAAAGCAAGGTATTATAGATACATAAGTATAAGTATGTGACAGATGGAATATGAAATATTAAACTGAATATATAAATGTAAAATGTACATTTATTCCAAGAGAAACTATGGAGCAACTAACTTCCAATAAATAAATAGGTATATGTAGAAACCCTGTAAATGTGACACTGTCAATGTCCACTTGCCTCTACTGGTTTCCTCCTGAGGATGAAGAAGTTCTCCGCCCTCATCATCATGAACCGCATGAACTTATGGCACAGGATCTTCTCAATCTCATCGGCCTGCAGCAGCACAGTATTTCAAAGGACAGTCAGGATTACAAGTACAGTTTGGATCTTTATATAATAATCGTTGTATTTACTTGTTGATAAGCAACCATTTGTTTCTTGTCAGGGTCTTAAACACATAACCATTGTGACCCGACCTGCTTGACAGCGATGCTGACTCGGACAGAGTTGATGGAGCCCTCGATCAGAACTTTCTCTTTGTCGTTACGGCTGATGATCACAGGCTGGAGGAGCAACTCTTTACTGCTCCTAAAAGGGGGAGAAAAACAGAGAAATCATTTTCGGTCGCACAATCAGTCCACAGGGACTAAGAAGGGAAACCCAGAACTCATGCACTGCTGGGTGTTATATGCTCCAAAGTCAATTTCAAAGTTGAGGTGACAACTCACCGTACTTCCACCTCTGGTTTGTTGTGTCTCTCCACCACCTGCGAGGAGAAATTCTCCAGGCAGACGGCCGCTTGCAGGGTAGCACGAACTGCATTGAGATATGGGCGTAATGTGGCCGTCTGAGAGAGAGAAGACAGAACAAAGTAGATGAGAAATAATCCTAAGGAGAACGTCTGAATCTACAGGCAGGTAGAACTAAGACTCAAGACGTTTTAAAAGCACACTATTCACTGGTTTCACTGCACATAATAACGTCTACAGTGATATACACAATGACTGCCTTCACATGACACAACCAGCAATTCATCAAAAGCACATATCCCTTTTTTAAGATGTTGTGCTTCTCCTATTTTATACAATTATCTTAATGAAACAAATCAGCAGTTTCTTTATTGAAAAATATTATTGACCTTTACCTAATGACTCCAAAATTAATGTAGTATTGTATCAGTACACTTTTATTTTAAGAACATTTTATTATGGAAAAAAACGTTCTAATGGAAACTAATTCATTTTTCATTAAAATATTAATATAAAATATGAGAAGCAATAAAATCAAACATTAAAAAATAAGTTTGTCCCACACATCCAATGTAGCAATAACATTCTGCATTGATTTGTGTTGCATAATGTTCAATAATACGAGCAAGATAGCACAAGTATATTTATAATAATATTGTGTTTCTGTCATTCAAAAAATACATTATCGATTGTCTCTGAGAGCTAGCTTTCCTCTGACCATTATGAATATCAACAATCCAACATAAAACTTCCCCGCAGTGTAAGTAGTGGATAAAGTACTATGTTATCTTATCTCTTAGTACAACTACCAGTAGCCTTACATCTGTAGGCCTCCGGTAGAGTAGGCCTACGTTACTTGAGGAAATGTAACTTTAGGCTCAAACCACTGGGTGTTCGTGTTCAGAATAGTAAGAACCACTGGTATAAATGTACCAAATGATAATTTATCAATAAAATGTTAATTTAAAGCTGATCAACCAACATCACCGTGTTTATCAGTGCAGGTGGGTCACCATATGTGTCCACCATTGAACGTTACTTAGCAACAAAGTATTACTATGGAGCTGCGACCTGACGGGTCATTATAACATAAACACTCTGTCACACTCTGTGCTCACAGGTACGAAGAGGCCATTACATTATCAAGGATGTTTCCTTTTCAGCTAATGTTAGCATGTTAGCTAACTGCCTGCAGCTATTCTGAATAGTAATAGAGAAAAAACGAGCTGTTTTCCCTAAATTAATGCCGTGTTAGTCGAGGAGAGTTAACAACTTAACATCGGCAAGGTTGGATACATGTAACTGATTAAATGTGTCGGTTTATCAGCACAAATGTCAAATTTATCTTACCATATTTCTCTGTGTGATGAGCGGCGGCTAAAGGCGGAAGTAGCTACACTTGACAGGTTTTCCGTGAACACAACACCGGAACTCAGCTCTGCGTCTGGTGTAAACCTTATTATACATCCATGGGTGTAAAGAGACAGATTTGGCACAACATACACGAATGAAACATAGAGATTACAAAATGACCATTTAGCAGTAAATATTATAAATGTACAAAATACGTTTTCCGTGATACTTTATTCAAAATAAAGGCAGTTGATTCCCTTTTTCTTCAACACAAATAACAAGATCATTAGAGACAAAACATGACCGCACTTGTCAATGTTAACATTTTGTTCAGTTTCTTTACTTATCTTGCCCATAGTCACATTCTTATAAAATCAAGTATCAAATAATATTGCAATGGGGTCCAGGATTGTCTTTAATGTATCAGGGTTTGGTAGTGTGCCAGAATTTAAATGCCAATAATGCCAAATATGCAATAATCCCTAAAATCCAGTAAAAACTCACCGGGTCATGATAGAACTACTTTTAAAAATGAATAACATTGCTATAAAATAGAAGACACACAACAATACAATGAAATTAGGTTTACTTTATTTGTCCAGTGTAGTTATAATATCTGGTATGAATCGGGAGTCATTGGGTCACATGACATGGAAGCTAATTAAAATAAATTACTTTTCTATGATGACTTCCTTTTGACATTAAAACAACCTGTAGGGAGACCAGGTACAGTTGCAACACGGGTCGGTTGTAACACCTTCAATATCTCCAATCACAAACAAGCTAGAGTGATGAAACTCACTCTGCACATGCGCAGATAGATGGTAAGATCGCTGAGAAAAAAAGGAGCCACGTTTGAATTTCTCGCGTAAGATATCAGCAAAAGTGTGTTTCTGAGGTAAAATATTAACTAAAATTATATGATGTATTTTTTGGATACTGTCTTGAGTTCAAATGTCTAGGAATCCAAACTAGTATTATTAGAATCACTGTTTTGTAAGCTACAAATATAACTAGCTAAATATGGGTCAAGCTAGCAATCAGGCAGGTTCACAGGGGGTGAAAGCAAGACTGGTGGTCCTGGGACGGTTGTAACGGGACGGACGGTTGTAACATGGCACATTTACAATGATGGCACATTTGCTTGAATGATCAATTGTTCATTCAAGCATACAGTTGTATTGTTGATTGGTGTGCATTGTCCCTGTAAAAATAAACAGAATAAAATACTGTACATCAGTAGGCCTAAAGTGTGTGTGTGTGTTTACAGTATGCCAAATGTCAGAAAGAGGAAGACAGACAGGGGAGTGCCACTTGCTCTGCTGCAGAGGGCCTCAAATGAAGTTGAGAAGGGCAAATCATTCAGGGAAGTGGCAAAGTCCCTGGATATATGCCATGTCACCCTGTATCGGTTCCATACAAAGAGGCTGAGGTTCGAGAGTCACAAACACCCCCAAGAGTAGGCTACTGGACACCAAAGAAGGTGTTCTCAACAGAGCAGGAGATGCTTTTGAGAGACTATCTGATGGAGGCAGCTGATTTTATGGTCTCAGCTCAAAGGAGGTAGGTCTACATAATTAAGGTAGAAGCACCTCTCAGAGAACAGTTTAATCCTTCACAGAGGATGATGCTGTGTGTGTTATGTTATCCTGTTCATTGTTTGTTGGAGGATGTGTGAAACCCCATTCAAATCTTGTTGCCTTAGAATTTGACAGCTTTCCCTATTTGTTGTCATGTAGTGTGAAAAAAGGTAACCGTTATTAACATGTTACAACCGTGCCTGGCATGTGCTACAACTGTCCCTGTACACAAGGACAGTTGTAACAGTTGAGTTTTTAAAAAATACATTTTCCAACCTGTACTTATTTCATAAAAACATCTTAAATACATTATTTCAGTAGCTGACATATTGATAATGTATAATATAGCAAAATGGCTATCCTATTGTAAATGGTTTTTTACTTATTGGGGAAAAGCCCAAAAAGTGTTGCAACTGTCCCTGGTCTCCCTACTGTGCCTGTGATAAATTAGAATGTACTACTCACTATAAAATAAACAATTGACTGAGTATCATGTAGTAAATCGAACATTCTTAACAAGGAGTAAATGTACAGCTACACCGACAGGAAAGATAGGGAGCTGTCAATCAAGCAGCACTTAATCACACACATCTTATATTTTAAAGTGGACCTATCATGCTATATTTGAATAATATAGTGTAGGACCATACCTATATATATAAGGCATATTTATACTTTTTTTTTTTCAAAATACCAAACAGATCATGCATTTTAGCCATGCCTCATTTCGCTCAATTTGCACTTTTTTTAGCTGTTTTTGCAAGGGCTGATTCTGTGAGAACAGCACCACCTACAGGCCTGGCATATGTACTACAGCGTCTCCAGCACTTTCGAACGGCAATGGCAGTGGCTGTCTCCTCCTGATTGGTGGAGTTGGCCCAATAGCCGTAGCGTCACCGTCCTGACGTCAGGACAGTGTTCAAATCTGGATCAGTTTTGATCAGATCCGTTGCAGCCCCTTTTTTAGAGATTTGGGTATGGAGGAAAATAGAGAGGGTTGTGTTTTCTGACACTTGGTGAGTTCCCTGGAACACCGGGGACACATATGTATAAAAGACGTTCAAAAGTGCATTTTGCATGATAGGTCCCCTTTAAGTAATACAAGAAAAAGAAATAAAACGGTAAAAAAGGATACATGAAACACCGTAAGAAATTACAAAGACATAAATAGAGACACATATTGCTAGACCATTGATATATTCAAGAGTTTTATTATTTGACGTCCCAATTTTCTTTGACAACATCATTGGCATCGCAGAGATTTATTTTCTATAAGGAGAAGGAATAATACCAGGGCAAAATGTTGGATCTTTTCTTAAAATGGAAAGAGAGAACATCCATTTCAGTTCAATCCATCAGGCATTTACCTTTACCATCTATACACTGTAATGCACAATCCGTTAAAAATATTAAGTACTAAGCCAACCTGAGCTACAAGCAAATAGAGAGAACAGCAATAACAAAGACATGACAGAAGAAAGGTGTATGCTGTGTTGGTGACACGATTGTAATTCCAAAGCGTTGAAAGATGCCTGATGAAGGACATGACACATACAGCAGTAATAGTAGCAGTACAAGTAATGTTACATAAAAGGCAAATATTAATATATTGAGGAATTACTCCATGTTTTACAATGTGACTGCGTTTTCAGCTTTTACTTTATGTCTAGAACATTTCGTCTGCTGTGTGAGGCAGTTATGAACCCAATGACACACAAGCACGAAGGGAAAAGGCAGTACAATCACAAAGTGTTCGACAGATTCTCAGGGGCTATATTGGACAGTGATAACGAGTGAGGAGGTATAATTTGAAGCTCACCAAAAGGCGTGTGGTGACAGACGTTGCCCAAAATCAGTCATCCCTCTATAATATTTAAAGGCAAAAACATAAAAAGAAAGTGCAAAAAAAAACAAGTTTGTGTTTCGGATTGGCTTGAGAAGTAACATCAGCCAATTAAAATATATAATATGTAGTTCAACTTGATTAGTTTTTGAGAGACAGGCAATAGAAAGCAAAGAGGAAACAGGAAGAGAATAGGATACTTGGGATGCTGACGTTAGCCAACATCGTCTCACATGACGGAGCTTTGGCCAGTCCAGCTAGAGTTCCCAATTGCACTCTTTGAACGTGGCTCCATCTCCGTGTGAGAGTCGGGGGCCAGTTAGAATTAAGTAGGTGGGACAGGACATCACTGAGGTCAGGGGGGGGGGGGGGTTATTATTCTCTTGTGTGATCTAAGGGCACTGGATTTGTCAGCTATTGGCGCTTGTGTAATTTGTGTGCTAAGGGAGGGTGGGGGGTACATCCATGTGCAGCGTACTGCGTGAGGGGTGGTGTTGATGGAATGAACAGTTGCGTGACGGAGGAAGACCAGTAGGGAAGTCCTTTCCCTTGGGGGGTGGGGGGGGTGATGTGACTGGTGACGGGGGGGTTTCAGAAAGCCAAGAGAGGAGATGGTCCAAGCTGTCCCTTAGCAGCTGCAGCTTTCTGCTGAAGCTTTAGCTCTGTCATTCCTGTCCAGTTTGATGGGCTCTGGGAATTCATTATACAACTCCACCTCTGTCTCCTGAAGGGCGGCAAGAGAGGAATAATCAGTACAGGAGCAAAACAAGCAGACAAACAAATAAAGACTGGGTTTAAAATGATTTATCTATGATTGTTGAAAATTACACATCTCTACTGTCTTTTGCTTTCATTTCAAGCCACTGTAACTCACTTGTTTGAGGGCGTTACGTGCAATTGTCTGGAATGCCTGTTCTACATTTATGGCTTCTTTGGCGCTGGTCTCAAAGTAGGGGATGTTGTTCTTACTCTGACACCAAGCCTGAGCCCTTTTGGTGGTTACCTGTGTGTGAGAAGAGGAACAAAAGATTCATCAATACAGTGAGCTGGAATGTAAAATGATGGGTTTGTTGATGTCTCTAACAGAACAGTAATATAGAAAACAGAAATGTTAAACTAAATGTAATTTCATATCATTCTTCTTTGAGTGAAGTGGGTTAAGATAAAAAATAAATAAATACATTGTGCAGAGAATCTTTGTTTTTGATTTGTTTTCATGTGATCTAAACAACCAGTAATAATGTGCTATCATTTCGCCATACTCAGAGAGAAGCATACGCTGATCTGCATTAATGTAATACCTTTATGAACCTACATCAATTTGAGCCTTGTACTTTAATAAAATGAATAACTTTGCCCAGGTAGTGACCCTGTGTTTTCACACTCTCTGCCGTACCTCCTACTGCAGTTTGTGTGCACTGAGGAACTTGATTATGATGTGATTTAAACTTTACTGTAGTTAAGCATGCTTGTCAGAAGTAAAAGCTATAAATACAGTAATATCCAAATTCTAAATCAACACTTGAACGCTGCGCAGCGTTTTTTGTCTTTTCATTCAACAAAATAAACAGTTTGCTCTCCCACTTGCTGCACAGAAAGGGAAGCACGCATTATACTTATTGAAAAAAGTTGATTTAATACAAATGCAAACTTATTTAA